TTTAGTCTTACTGGCGGATCTCTTAAACTGGAAGATAATGTCCCCTGGCGCGGAGATCGCGGCAAGTCGCGGACAAAAACAAAAGGGCCGCGGTGCGGTTCTGCTTCTGGCCGGGCCGGCGATCTGGTACCGTAATACATTCCTTCATTCCTTCATAGAGGAAAATCATTTGAGTAGGTTCAATAAATAACTTTATTCTCTGGTCCTCCCGAGTGGCGTCACCTCGCTCCGTAGCCAAGGCGTTCGCATCCGGAATCTTTGGTCGGTCGCCTCCCCCCCTCGGAGTGAGGACCCCCCCTCCATCAGTCGGTGGTTTCAGTGCACGGTTGGGTTTTGGTAGCGTCTCTCGGCCCGCTAACTCGGTCTAGGGGGGCCGTGGTTTAGAAAGTAAGTGGTCATCTCTCCTTTCCCCTTCACCTTCACCACCCCTCGGCATTCCAGGGAGTAGTTGTTGGCTGCCAGGACCTGCTGGAGGTCCGCCGTCACCTAAAACGAAGCAAAGGACGGTTATGACGCGGTTATGACCTGTAAGATCACTGCTACTCAGGGACACAGTGATTTCCATGTGCTCTCTATATAGAGATTAGTATTTTTTTATTTAAAGTGATAACCTATCACTCTACAATTCATCCGCACACAGCTACCTCCTTATGTATCACTGGCCCCTCCCCTTTTAGATTGTAAGCCCTCAGGGGTGGGGCCCTCCTCACCATCTTGTCTTGTGATTGTAATGTCTTCCTTCCCATTGTACAGCGCTGCGCAAACTGTTGGCGCTCTATAAATCCTGGAGCAGACAAAATCTGTAGGCTCACCTGGATCCTCTCCGGCACTCCGGTGCTGTCCATGCGACTCGCCACATTCACTGTGTTCCCCCAAATATCGTACTGCGGCTTGCGGGCCCCGATCACGCCGGCGACCACCGGTCCGATGTTCAGCCCTGTCACACACACACAAGAGATAAAAGTGTGACCCAACATCTCCGTAACATGCGAGGTGTAATCGGCTTCCTCTGACACCTCTGATTTCAACAGCTAATGCAGAACTACAACTCCCAGCATGCTCTCTCAGGAATGAGCTCCTCCGATTTATTGCTGGAATACCACGTAGACAGTGGCGGAACTATCGCCATAGCGACCCGTGTGGCCTCTATGGGGCACAGGGGGGCCCCCGACGAGGAAAAAAGGGGGTCCCCCTGATGACGTGCGGGCCGCCTGGGTCGCTATGGCGTTGCAGGCTGGTGACTGTCACTGGCGGCTGTGAGGAGGAATGCGCCGCTGTTCAGATCACTGACAGCCTGTTCCTCCTCACAGCCGCTGCTGAGTCAGTGACAGCCAGCAGCTTGCGCTGGAGGAGGCCGGGGCCCGGCAGCGGAGGAGGAGGCGGGGCCTGGTGACGGTGGAGGAGGCGGGGCCCGGAGGAAAATGCGGGGCTCGGCGGTGGAGAAGGCTGACAGGTAAGAGGTGTGGAGGAGTGTGACCAGCCCACCTGAGACCCTGCAGAGCCCACCATAGAGAGTCTATGGTGGGCTCTGCAGTGTCACCCTCAGGTGGGCTGTGTGGGATCTCAGGTGGGCTCTGCAAGGGGCGTAACTAGAAATCA